AAACGATCTTAATAACATTCATTCGTGGGCTATCATTAATAAAATGAAGATAAATGCCGTAAAAAGTAAATCACTAAGCTTTTCGAAATCAGCAAAGGTTTCTTTAGAATACCAAATGGGAGGCGTATTCATTCCACAAGTATCGTGTTGTAAGTATCTGGGTGTCATATTACGCCAAAACTTGGGATGGGGGGAACACGTTACTTCCATTGCCCGAAAAGCGTGGAAATCACTACAATTTTTAATGACAACACTTAAAAAGGGGAACATGGAGAGTCGAAAAATAGGATACACATCTTTAGTTAGGCCGATTCTTGAATACGCATCAGCAGGATGGGACCCATACAGATTAGGTCAGATTGAAGAGTTAGAAAAAATTCAAAAGAAAGCAATCAAATTCATAAATAAAGGATCTTCGTGTAGTTCAAATCCACCAAAACCTATAGAGCCCTCAGTGTGCGAAGAGCCTCAGTGTGTAAAAAAGCCAGATAGTGCTGCCTCTTCAAGGCGTACAGTAAGTCACTTGCATGGGCAGAAGTAACAAAAAGACTAGACTCCCCTTCAAGAGTTGGGAGAAAAGATCACACAAACAAAATAAAAAGTAGATGTCAGAGATCCGACGTAGGGAAATATTCATTTGTAAATCGTACGGTTAAAAATTGGAATGAAATCCCTGCAGCGGTCGTAGAGCCTTTTCCTGGCTCTGTTGGTGTCTTTAGAAGACGACTTAATAAGTACTTGTAGAGGATGTATTTTAGTGCACAGCTCAGAATACATAATTCAAGTGTATTCAAGTGTAAATTTGTAGATTATTATAGATAAAATGTAGTGTAGTGTAGTGCAGTGCAGTGCAATGGAAAGATACTTTAATTAGTTATATGGCATAACCAAAGAAAGATGTGGTGAAAGTGTAGTGTAGTGTAGTGTAGTGTAGTGAAGTGAAGTGCGAGAGGGGGCGGGGAGCAAATCTAAATGCTTAAAGAGATAACTTTAAAAATCAACATTGTGTTTCTATTTAAAAAAGAAATTGTATAACTAGTTAATTTTATGTATATCTGTGCATGTTTACTAAGTGTAACTAAATATAAGTTCTTCATATAAAAGTAGGCATGTATCCTATGTAGGGCAAGTGTGTGTTCGTGTTATGTGTGAACGTGAGAGTGAGCATTCACGTATAATAAGGTGTATGTATGTGTGTGAGTGTGTGTGTATGTGTGTGTACATATGTATATGTATGTATATATGCATGTGTATGCGTGCATGCACACATATATGTATGTCTATGTGTATGTTATATGCATGTGTATGTTTGTGTATGTGTATGTATGTGTGTATATGTATGTATATGTGTGCCATAGATGTATACAAGTCTGTGTATATTTATATATTGAGTGTATGCTCGAAAGGAGTCTACTGTAAATTGTTTTTATATGGTAAATTGTTTTTGAATTATAAGTGTTCATATGTTGTAAAACTGTGGGGTTATGGCTACCACCTAGCAATCAGCCAATTGTAGCCAAATAAATATTATTAATATTATAACTCCCAGGTCATTCAAAACACTGGGAAGTCCAAAACATTGCATTATTGGAAACAATAAAGCATTTTTGTTAAACCCAAATTTTGCGCAGAGCACTGAAGCACCGACAGTCCCTAGATCTACTCCGTAGGTAGTTGGTTGCAACATGGACTAAATATTATATTTGATAGGTATAAATTCTAAATATAACATGAAATAAATTGTTATATAAAAACTTAGTTTGTTTCATTAAGGACAAGAAACTTACAATAAAATAAACATTACAACAAACATTAAATATTCATAATAATAATAACAATAATAAATTTCACCAACAATTATATAAAACATTCCTCTCAAATTTAAAGTATGAAGAGGATTAACCTTTTTTATCTCACTGGCGTTGACTCCATATTTCACCCATGCTATTCACAGAGCCTTCCTTCATGAGCAGCGCGCCCACCTGTGATGGTGAAAGGGGGGTGTACGGGGGAATTTGAGTCCCCCTGTGAACCCCAAAATGAAAACTTCTGTTTGCGCAACGTGTCACACCTGCCGTCACCTTTTGCGAAAGACAGGACTTGCGCTCGCTGCCGTTGCTCTGTCAGCGCCTTCGCCAGCTCCAACTTCGCAGGCTCTTCTCCGTCCAAGTTTGTTCCTTGAAATCCGATTGAAAGCTATTAACGGCAGCGGGAAATTATTTGGCAGAAGAACTTCGCCTGAAGTGCTGGTGCTTACCGCTTTCTTGGCGACGACGTCCTGGCGGCTGGTGTCCCTCGAATGTCTTTCTAGGCAACGGATTCATTCATTCAGCACTTTGTAATTTCTTGGCGTCTTCTAAAATATGTTACTATGAAAAGAAATTTGCTCTTCTTGGCAAATATGAGGTACATTTACTCCCAAAAAGAAAACAGTAATTTTCGAATACCCTTCTTCCGCAATAACTAAGAAATGAATCACACTTGTAAGGTCGAGAAAAGTGACAAATGAAAAATAATCATGTAGACCTTATAGAGATTAATTACACAGTCCTACATACAAAGACTTTATTTGATAATTTTGGCTAATCTTGATGCTTTTTCGTGTGCTGAAAACGAAAACGATGTCCGTCCTTCTCCATCACAGATTTTTTCAAATCCGTATAACATAATTCCTATTTTGTAGATATGCACTTATTTACATTTGTTGCCAATATTTTTTCTTAATCTATTTCTAACATTTTAAAAACTTATTATGTTCTAGTAAAATTCTGTCTGAATAGGAGGTGTGAACATGAAGGTTCTGTTCAGGTAGGAATGTAATTGTTATCTTTCCTGGGTAGTCCCCTTCTGAAGATAATCGAGATAGAAATGGTTATATCTGAAAATTGAAACCGACTTTGTTGTTCATTCTCCTAGTCCAAAAGTGTCAATTGGAGTGAATACATTCACGTACGTCATTTAGTTGCGTTAAAGTGATTAATGGCGTTTCCTGTAGTTTGAAAGTGCATTTTCAAAAATGTCTCATCGTTGTTACTAGTTCAAACTATTTCTGTTTTATCAGTTGCGAGTACACAATCAAGAAGTACCAAAGAAGTATAATATATTTCGTCAAAAAGTGTATTTTTCATACGTTGGGTTGAGAATAGGAGATCAAGATAAAGTACGGGCTCCTCACAAAGTATGTCACGGCTGCATAAAAAAACTTCGCTTATGGTACAAAGGAGAATTACAGTCTTTTAGATTTTCTATCCCAATGACGTGGAGGGAGCAAAAAAACCACGGGGATGACTGTTACATTTGTACTTGTGATGTTCAAGGTTACAATTCCAAAAACCATAAGTTGATTAATTATCCTAATCTTGAATCTGCATTTCGTTCGGTATCAGTCGGCCTTGGATCGCCAGTTCCTCAGTCCCCCTCGTGGATTGGACAATATTGACTGGGAAACAGAAAGAGAAGCTCGTGTGGTGAAAAAGTATGAAACAAACAATGAGTTCGAACCAGACAGTTCAACGAACGAACCTGAGCTTTTTTCTCTACATGAGTTGAATGACTTAGTGAGAGATCTTGGACTTCCGAAAGATGTTTCTCAGTTACTTGGATCGTGTTTGTACCATACTTTTCACAAGATGAGAATCTTGTTTCTTGTAAAGACATTCATGGACTGATGGGTCAATTAGCTGTACAATATGATCCGATATATTGGCGTCTATTCATAGACTCATCAAACCGAAGTCTAAAAGCCGTTTTGATACACAATGGCAATATTTATGCTTGAGTTCCAGTTGGCCATTCAATACATTTAAAGGAAACATACGACAATTTCGTATTAGCACTCGAACGAATTCGTTATAACGAGCATGGCTGATTGGTGCACACTTGAAAGTCTTCACCGTGCTCTTATGTCAACAATCGGGATACACAAAGTTTACTTGTTTTTTATGCTTATGAAATAGCCGTGACATTCTCACAAGAACAAAAAAGAGTGGCGAGAAGCTCTGTAGTCAGGTGAAAAAAAGTAATTAGGAAACGTTTGGCTCTTGTTTGTGTTACACCTTCGGTACTAAAGCAAGATATATTTTATTAATGAAATCTGTTCTTAGGTATTAGTTTTTTAATTAATTTCGTGAACAATTTTTTCAACATATGTAATATTAAGGAAAAGTTCTACGAATCCTTAGGATACATGTGAAGATTGGTTGGTCGGTAGATTTTGCTCAGTAGCTGGTATGAAGAGCTACGAAGGTCATTCAATAATTAAAGAGACAAAGTTATCTGGAGAAAAAACAGTAGACAAGACAAGTTTGGTAATTTTAGGACTTTACGTTGGCATCACTAGAATGAGCCGTGACCATCTGCAGAATCAGCCAATGCCATATTTTCCAGAGGGCATTGGGTCAGCTTTGTTGTGTTCATAACCTCAAAATTAAATTGAACGATGGCGAGTCAATTTGAAAATCCTACATTGGTTAAACAACGTACTGTGATTTGTTTTTTACTTTCTGAAGCAAATATATACTCTAGAATGACTAAAATGTGGTGAACGTTGTATGAACTGCGGCAATTTAAGGGCGAAAAAATCCTTCGTACGCCTTCCTTCGGAGGGGAAGTAAAGCCGGCTGTCCCATGTTCGTAGATTTACTTGCATGTAAAAGATCCTCAAGCCTAAATGACGCCTTTGAGCTAAATTCAAATCGCCCGTTTCTCGCCCAAGAAATACCTCCTTTCTCTCCTAGTTGGTGAAAGGAGCGTAGCGAAATTTCCGTGGTCAGACGGAAGAGCGGGCCTGATGGCCCGAGTCTCGCCACGTAAAATAAGGCAAATTCAATTCAATTCAATTTATACTAGTGGGTAGAACAGTTCAAAAGTGACTGGCAACCACCGTTCTGGCCGCATCAACAGGAAAAGTCACGTTGACAGTGTTTGGGGATACTGTATGTGCGTTTATTTGTGATGATCTAGATGAACAGCGTACAATAAACAGCCAATACTACTCAAATATGGTTTTGAACAAAGTGAAGGCAGACATGAGAGAGAAACGTCGTGGATCACAGAGGACCGAGGTATGATTCTCGAGCAAGACAACGCACGTACTCACTCTGCTCAACAAAGCTGTGAAATCATCAACAAAATAGCTTGCGAGGTAATGCCTTATCCCCATTAAAGTCCTGATTTAGTACCATCTGATTTTCATTTGTTTGGTCGTCTGAAGGAGGCATTACGTGGGAAGAAGTTCCAGCAAATGAGGATGTCAAACAATTTGTGGGAAATAAGTTCAAACACCAAGATACAAAGATCTTTGCAGCCGTTACAAAAAGCTGGTAACCTTTTGGGACAAGTGCATAATGTTATTGGTGATTATTAAAAAAAAAAAATAGAAAATCCCCGGTTTTGTAAAAATAAACGTTTAATTCTTCAGACCAATTTGTGTCTTTAATTATTGAATGCCCCTCGTAGAGACCTCCGGTGCGAATCCTTGCGAGCGTAAGCATTTGATTCTAAAATATTTTGTAAATGTAGAGCAAAATCTCTAAACTCAACTGAAAAATATGTAATTTCATTAAAACTTTTGAATTTTTGGAAATTAAATATATGATTTTTTTTCAGTCTTTCGGGATCGTTTCGTTAGTAATTTTTCAAACGCAGTACGATGTGTTACTACGATAGAAGTTACAGGTGATAATACATTTCTCTTGTGATTTAATTTTGGAAAGGGTATTTAGTTTTGTTTTCACGTCAGGATTTATTTCCAAAAAATAGTTTCCAGAAAAGATACCCACTGATATTAAAAATATCGTTAGTTCATATACGTTGTAACAGACACTATTACAAATTCTCTCCAACAAAATATTAATTTCAGGTCCACATAAATAATTCTAACAAAAATACAATAATAAGGTACTCTTCAGTTTCATCTCTTTTTTTAAATCTTCCCCCCTCGGAATTGGAATAACCACTGAATGTTCTCTTGTATTAAAAATTGATGATAAGCTATGCTTTTTCTTGTACTACTTTTGTAATCCATTTCCACTCTTTAGCTCTGAATTATTCAAAATAAATGAATATCGACTGAATATGGGAATTAGTGGTGCTTTATGTTTAAAGCTTTTTCATAGAAATCTCATGCAGCTGTCATAATTTTATTGATCTTACCTTGCTCAAAGTGTCCACTTTCAAATTGGAACGACATATGTTTCTGTTATATAAAAATACTGTGTCATAAACAACATGTTGCACATTATCTCTGTTGACGTTATGACCTACTTACATTTGTTTATGTGTCTTAATGATTGTGCGCCGTATGTGTGAATGACAAGTTGTAACATGGAATAATTAGGTCAACATACACGCGTGAACAACAGTTTCTATTCACTGAGATTGAAGCAAATATTTTTTCTTAACATGTTTGAAGAAAATTCTTTGTGTGCATTTGTGATGACGTTTACGAAAACTAATTCGAGAAACGTTTCGCAACAGCACTTGAAATACTTCCGCAAAATCATTGTAAAGATAATTATGTTTTTTTCAGACCTCTAGTCGAAGTCTGTTATCGTTACTGTTATCGAATGTGAACTAGAAGTGGATCATTCCTTTAAAGAAAATATTTTTTCAGTGGTTTAAATTGCAACAATGAAACTAATAAATAATAATGTGTATATTTAGAAACAACTTTAACAAACTGAGAGGTGGTAGAGGAGACTTCCTCGTAGAAGTTAGTTTCCTAGTCTGTTGAATCTGAGCTAACTTTTAGTTTTTTCCACATCCTCTTCCCACCTGCTACCTATCAGTGCCTAAAATCTATTTCTATTTGCACATTTTCTCCATTTTTCACGCCCCTCCTAGTAGAATACTGCTTTAAGTACATCATAGAAGAGCGAAATGTTTTTTTATACGCAAATTTTCATTGCAAAATTTGAAGCTGTTGTTGAATAAACGTCGTTTGAGCGTTTCTGAAAATTCGAGTTCATTTTCACAAAAAAGTCTTGAGTTTTCGGGAAACTTTACAAGATATAATTGGAACCACTCTTACAAATACGATAATATATTAAAACGCCAGTAATGTGACAATGTGAAAAAATGCATTTGTTTAATTTTTGAAAAACAAAATTAAATATAAAAATGACGTTTATATCATGTTATTTAGTGAATTCAGATCTATTTAGAAAGTTTAATGAAAAAATTAACTGTTTTTGAAATTAGTTTTTTTAAATTGCTCGTTATTCTTTCAAAACTACGCGAACACTACTAGTATTTTTTTTAAAGGCTGACTTTAAAGATCAAACAGGAAATAAATTTCATTTGAAGAAAAAATCTTTACCTACAATAATGTGTTTGTAAGAGTCGGTTAAAAAACTCTCAATCTTTTTTTTCAAAATTCAAGGTTGACAGTGGAATTCGTATCTTTGCAATCGTTATTGGTAAAGACCATATTTTCGTACATCAAATTTTTCTAAAACGTGCAGTAAAAACACCAAAACGTGCAAAAACATGCAATAAAAAGATCAAAACTTCAACTGTTTCCGAGATTTTTTTCCAAATTTCTGGGGCTTTGAGCTGTTCAGTTTGACCGGGAAAAATTCATTTTGGCGAAATTTCTACTACTAGTTTAGGCACATTGTTGTTCACAGAAGGATAAATGTTTTGAAGGAACTCACAGAACAACACCAACAACGAAAACAATACAACTTCCTCGGCATTAGGAGACCCCGAAACCAGTATTTCCATTGAAAGCTGGAAAACTATTTTCTTTGGGTGATATTGCAACGGGATGCCAATATTGCTACTTCAGTCTTTTACATAAGTTCACATAGTTATATCTTGCATAATCTAATTAGCTTTATTTTGAATTGAAGATTATATACCATGGGCTTAATTTTTCCTGCCGTACTTTTGATGTAGAGGGCTATATGCGAAGGCTGCAATTTCTAACAGGGAAAAATGCATTTCTCTCCTGAGGTATTCTGTATGCTATTTTCCACATCCACATATTTTGCGAATCCACGGATAAAAAAAAACATAAGATTCTACATTCTATAGAAATACCGTAGTAACTATCAATCAGCAATTCAGTGTTTAATATAAGATATCGCAGTACCGAAGTATTTTGTGCATAGGCCTGTTTTCTTTGTTCTAATGCAAATTCGTCTGTTTCGTCAAATGGTTTCATCTCTATTTCATTGAATCGTTTTTATATCATGTTCATGTTTAATTTTATGAATTATGATATAATTGCAACGTGTAGCGTATAGTTTATTACTTGAGATAGAGGAGAACCACTTTTTTATTTACTTCCCTACGTTTTGAACTGTTGTTACACTAAACTAAAGTTCAGTAAGATTTTTAGTAGTATCTTTTTATATTTTTCTGCCACAGCATGAAATCGCTGCAGTGGAACAAAACAATTCGTGGCACTTTCTCACTCAAGATTATTCATGTTTTTCTTGGCTTGTATCTTTTATATAATTCTTTCTTGGTTTGCACTTTTTTATGGTTCTTTCTTGCATGTCTGTGTAGCGAATTCGATATATAATAATTCGAATTATTAGATAATTCGTTGAAAATTGTACTCTTTTTGATACGTTTATTTAAGAAAAGTAAATTTATTTTTAATTCGCATTTTCAAATTTTACTTTTGAAATTTGCAATACGAAGTCATGATTTTGTAGTTCTCTCTGAGACTTATTACAGCAAGATAAAGCTCTGTATATTTAATTAAATAACAACGGTTACTTAACAAACGATCTAAATCCTCAAACCCTCGATGAAAAAGACTGTTCGATGAAGAAACAAAAATGCTGAATGTTATACAAACGCTATAGTGAACATTGATTACTACACTCACAATCAACATTTTGCAATCATAACGTCACAGATATTGGATGAATATGATGGGCGGGAATAAGAGTAGAAACTATTTTTCCTTGTAAACTCTATTCCTGTAGCTCCAAGCTCTTCTCTAACTGTAATTATATAATTTTATCATGAAAATTTCAATTCCTTGAATTGACGTTCACTCCTGAGGAGAGTCACAGATTGTGCGCGGCAGATGGGTATACACACGCAGTTTACTATGCAACATTGAGAGGTCATAATGACCTGTTTTTTTTATCTTTCGCTAGCATCTTAAAAAACTTAATCGAAAAAAAACAACACATTATTTGTAATGAAAGAAAATTCTTTCTCAATTTTACTTTTATCATCGAACCTAAACGTTACCGTCTGACAGAATTAGTTGGCAATGCTGGTTGAACCTAATTATTACACGCCTTCGTAGATAACGCATGGGTGGGGCTAATTTCAACGGATGTTAAACGGTTACACACACACACACACACACACACACACACACACACACATATATATATATATATATATATGTGTGTGTTCACACACAACAGTATATATATATATATAGTAATATATATTATAT